GTAGAGACGGGGTTTCACCGTGTTGACCAGGATGGTCTCGATCTCTTGACCTTGTGATCCACCCGCCTCGGCCTCCCAAAGTGCTGGGATTACAGGCTTGAGCCACCGCGCCCGGCCCCAACTTGGTTCCTTTTTAACGCTTCTAAATAGGAAACAAACAGTGGCGGTGGGGGGCGCTGCTCTTAGGAGTCCCCCGGGGCCCTGGGGCGCAGCCTCCGCAGGGACGCGATGGTCTCCGAGCTGCAGCTCTGCCAGCCGCGTGCCGTTCCTTCCTTCGTATTTTTAAGACCGGAAAGTCTGCACGACTTCATTTCGGTTTTCTTCCTCCATCCTGACTGGAAGTCACACGCAGTCCGGATGATTAGCGGCAACGCTTAGAAAATCTTCCAAGTGGCCCCTCGAGGCCTTGGGAGGTCGCAAGAGCGGCTTCCTGTGGTCAGGGCGGGCTCCTGGGGTGGGTTCGGGGTGGCCTGGAAGTGGGGGGGGACATGGCCGGAACAGATCAGATCTGTCCATTCTAGAATCATCCAACCCAGGGCAGGGGCCCAGGTTCTAGTCTGCAGCCACTGCCTGGAAGAGCTTTGAGGAAAAAAGGAAAAGAGAAACAAAGAGGAAAGAAGTCGGGCGGGGGCATGGGGGGAAGCGGCAGCTCCCATGGGCGCTTCCTTGTATGTTATCACATCTGTGGGAACCCCGTGTCCTGGAAGCCACCTCATTACTCCCAGTGCAGAGGAGGAAACTGAGGCAAACAGGCCCCCACTGTAAATAGGGGAGACCAGACTCCCAAAGGTGGCGATTTGCCGAGACCAGAGGGCACTGCTCATGGCTGCTCAGGTGCCCCCTGAAGGCCACCGGCCACCACGAGGCGCCACAGAGCAGAGACACCCACCCCAGCCCCAAGACCAGCGCACTCAACACCTCGCCCCCGCCCCTCACATCTGTTCCCGGGTCACCTCTGCCAGCTCCACAGAAATCCACAAAATTCCGGCCTCCAGAAACTCGGCCACCAGGTGAGGAGGAAGCTGTCCTGCCCTGAGCTTCTCCACAGAGGCCAAGCAGACAGTTTCTGGTTCAGCTCAGAGCTAGAGGCCCTCACTAGCTGTCAGTTCAGTTAGATTTTGAGGAAGTCACAGAGAGGCAAAGACTGCAGCTCATGGGGCGAGTGTTCCTTGTGGCCTTCTTTTTTCTTTTTAAGGGAATATGTATTTTTTAAAATTTTTCCTTAAATTGTGGTGAATTATACACAACATAAAATGTACCACTGTAGGTCAGCAGCACGGAGCACATTCACACTGCTGTGCAGCCAACGCCAACATTCAGCTCCAGATCACTTTTCAGCCTGCAGAACTGAAACTGCTCATTAAACAGTAACTTCCCATTGCCCGTCCCCAGCCCCCAGCACCCACCACAGTACTTTCTGTCTCAATAAATAAATGATTCTAGGCAGCTCTTAGGATTGGAACTGTACAGTATTTGCCCTTTTGTCACCAGCTTATTTTGCTCTACCTTGTATCTTCATTTTGTTGCTGTTGTTTTCTGAGATGGAGTTTCGCTCTTGTTGCCCAGGCTGGAGTGCAATGGCACGATCTCGGCTTACCACAACCTCTGCTTCCCGGGTTCAAGCAATTCTCCTGCCTCAGCCTCCTGAGTAGCTTGGATTACAGGCACGCACCACCATGCCCCACTAGTTTTTTGTATTTTTAGTAGACATGGGGTTTCTCCATGTTGGTCAGGCTGGTCTTGAACTCCCAATCTCAGGTGATCCACCCACCTCGGCCTCCCAAAGTGCTGGGATTACAGGCGTGAGCCACTGGCACCCGGCCTACATTGTATCTTCCATATAAACTCCCGGGCTCAAGCAATCCTCCCACTTCAACCTCCTGAGTAGCTGGAACTATGGGCACATACCACCATGCCTGGCTGATTTTTAAAATTTTTTGTAGGGAAGGGGGTCTCAGTAAGTTGCCCAGGCTGGTCTCACACTCCTGGCGCCTTAAAGTGCTGAGATTACAGTCATGAGCCTCCACTCCCAGCCAGTTTCTCTCATTTGTAAGGCTGAATAACATTCCTGGGTATGTATACACCACATCACGTTTATCCATTCACCCATGGACACCTGGGTTGTCTCTGCCTCCGGGCCTCTGTGAACGATGTTGCTGTGAACATAAGTGTGCCGGCTTGGCCTTTTGCTTTCTCAGACTCATCCCCTGCTCTTCTGCACTGCAACGGTATCTCTAAGGTGGACACACAAGCATTTAAGCCCTGACCCGCATCCTGGAACGGCGCTACTGCAGTCCACACCCCAGCCTGTTCATGCGTCAGGGATAGGCACCCCACGGTGGGCATCCCCTGGCTTTGGAGAGAAGCTCATAATCTTGGGGGCCACCGCTGAGGTTTCTTATGCTGCAGGGAATTGATCTTCACTACAGTCGGAGTAAGACTTAGCTCAATTTCCTCATTAGCCTTCATGAAGCCCACAGAGGTATCCTCTATAAGAGATGCTGTCAAAAGTTCCTGACTGCAGTCAGCCAGGAAACTAGGCTCCCATAGATGATAACCAGTCTAGAAGATGCTCTCATGAGCAAGGTGGCGGGGCTCAAGTGTGCCAGGAACTGCTACTTTTTCTGATTTCCTAACATGTAAATAGCTTCAAAGGCAAAGCAGGAGCTTTTACAGAAACCAAAGAGCTTCCTCTGTTTAATCTTTCCCCCCAAAAAAATGACCTGGAAATTAAGCCCAATTTTGCTAAAATCAGCAATAATTTAACCTCGAGGAAATTAAAGAGGGTTATTTTTTTATTTAGCACTTAAAATAATTTAGAATGTGAGAAATCAGATTGCTCAG